AGGCAGCCAAAGTGGGCCAGAACAAATGGTTTCTTGTGTGCAAACAACATAAATTTTGTGACTTGACATTTCTCCCGGAATTGCTGTTGCTGTGGTTTTACTTTGAAACCTGTGGTATTCTATGTAAATCAAGAAAAATATTCTGCATCTTACGTCAGCTCGGTTCTCCTGACTGCAAGGTTAATTCGTTGACTTAACCCACATGTATCAGTTCATTGTGGATCACTGATGTCCTGCAGGCCTTCTGCTAGGTGTGAAGACCCACCTGGTCACGTAGAAGACGTAGTTTTTGCCTTCAGGGAGCTCTCAGTCCATGTTGAGAGACAGACATATATAAAAGAGGCTGTGCAATATGAAGAGGGCCATAATACAAATTTAAATTAGGTGTTGTGGGATCCTAGGTGAGAGAGGAACTTTGCTTAGGGAAGCCGGAAAAGCCTTTATTGTAGACAGCAGAATTTGAGCTAGAGCTGAAATAATGAACAGAGATTTTGCAAATAGAGAAGGTTTAGAGAAAAAAGCATTCTGGTCATAGCATGCATAAAGTCTTAGAAGCCTAAGAGGATCTGGTGGTTCCTGTGAATGGCACAGAGTTCAATGAGGCTGGAAAATAAAGTACAAAGAGAACAGCAGATTAGGCTACAGAAAGAGTATGTGTGTACCAGTTAACTATTGCTGCAGAACAAACTGCCCAAACGCTTAGGGGCTGAAAGCAACATTCATTTTATTTGCTCTTGATTCTATGGGTTGTTCTCACCTGGGAGAACCTATAAGACCAAAGCAGATAAAAGCAGCATCTCTGAAGCCTTAGTTTGGAATTCACACATTGTTACTTCTGCCACCTTCTTTGGTGAAGATAAGTCATGGCCAGCCCAGATTCCAAGGGTGGGAAAATAGATCCCATCTTTTGATGGGAGGAGTAGCAAAATCACTTTGCAGAGGTGTGTGGGAACAGGGAGGGGAGGAGATGTTGTGGCTGTCTTTGCAAACAATATACCGGAGGGTGAAAGCAAACTGTAAAGTCTTGCTTACAAGGTGAACAGTTTGAAATTGATCCTAAGGGCAACAGGAAGCTATCAGAGGTTGTTGTTGTTTTAAAGATTTATTTATTATTTTAAGGAGAGAGAGAGAGTGGGGGGGGGCAGAGGGAGAGGGAGGGAGAGAGAATCCTCAAGCAGACTCCCTGCTGAGTGAGGAGCCAGACGTGGGGCTCAATCCCAGGACCCTGAGATCATGACCTGAGCTGAAATCAAGAGTCGGCCACTTAACTGACTGAGCCATCCAGATGCCCCTCAGAGGTTGGTTTTTTTGTTGTTGTTGTGTTTTGTTTTGTTTTTAAGTACCACGGTAATAAGGTTTTCTGCTTAACATCCCTTATTAAGGAACCCTTCCTCTCCTACAATCCCCATGGTTACTGAAGAAGCCATCATGTTAGTACAGTGCCTACCTTTTGATCAATTGTTTATATCAGGAATGAACTAACCAGAATCCTTTCTTTAGATTTTTTTCTACTATAGATACTGTAGATGAGAATTGAACATTGCCAGTAGCTGACTGAGGCTGTAAGATGCAGATCTTAGGGAGTGCTAGGGAGTTATGTTTTAAGCTATATAAGAAAGCCACTCTGCACAGAGAGGCAGAGATGAGAGGCAGAGTCCTGATGGTCTTGGAGTCCACTAAATCTGACATCCCTCTTTCCCTAGGCTTCTTCAAATGTGGCTTAGCTCTCAGACCAAATGAATCCCAACTAATACAAAGAGAGGTTAACACCTGCAAGTAGGGAGTTGGAAGTGACAACATAAAAATCTGAAACCAGTTGAGTTTGAGGGTCATGGTTATTTTGACTGGTTTTTACTGGTATATAAGAAAGCTGTTGCTTTTCATATTTTGTATGTAGCTACCCTACTGATGGCTTTTCAGTTGGAATCTCTTGGAATTTCCTAGACCAACAATCAGATTATCAGAAAACAATTTTATTTTATCTTTTTCCTTTAGTATATACACATATACATATGCACGTATGTGTGTATGTGTGTATGTGTGTAATTTTTTTTTCTTGTTTTGCCTGTTTTTATATAAACTCCAAAATATATATATATATATATATATATAGTATCAGATATTCGGCAAGTTCATCCTGTTCCTGACTTTATAAAAAAAATTCTAATGTCTCCATCTTAGGTATAATTTTTATCGTTCTTGTCTGTAAAATACTCTTCACCGTAGTAAGAGGATTTTTTCTTCCAATCTAAATTTAATTTGAATTTTAAAAAATTTGAAATAGATATCAAACTTCCAAGTAATTTTTCAGTAATTAGCAAGTTCGTATTACTTTCTCTATAAGTAAGTCAGTTATATTAACATATTTATTAAGATTGAATCATCCTTACACTCTGCAACAATCCCTACTTGTCTTGATGTAGTACTGCTTTCCTGCAGCTCTGAATTTGATTTGATAATATAGGCAGTCCGTGTTTTTTGTGGTACCATGTTAATTGCTACTCTGGATTTCAGAGTTGTGTATCAGAGGCTTGTCCTCATTTTCCAAGGTTATGACATGCACCGCTCTTACTTAACATAGCACTGTGCAAAACGAAAATTGCCTGTTTATGTTTATATTCATATACTTTTTTTTGGTATATCTGTTAGATTTGAATTGGAGAAAAATGAAGACCCTTTCTCTTTCCTATGCTCCAAAACTGTTTAAATACAAAAGCTAGGGGCGCCTGGGTGGCTCAGATGGTTAAGCGTCTGCCTTCTGCTCAGGTCATGATCCCAGGGTCCTGGGATCAAGTTCCGCGTCGGGCTCCCTGCTCCTTGGGAGCCTGCTTCTCCCTCTGCCTCTCTCTGTCTCTGTCTTCCATGAATAAAAATAAATAAATAAATACAAAAGCTAAATAGACTCCATAAAGCCATCTCCTTAGGAGTGATATACATCTCTGACAATAATTTCACTATTTTAGGGCACTTCAGATCTTTTACTTCTTTTTTTTTTAAGATTTTATTTATTTATTTTTGAGAGACAGAGAGAGAGCACAAGCACGAGCAGGGGGAGGGGCAGAGGGAGAAGCAGACCCCCCCCCCCGCCAGCTGAGCTTTGAGGAGCCCAAAGCGGGGCTCGATCGCAGGACCCTGGGATCATGACCTGAGCCAAAGGCAGACGCTTAACCAACTGAGCCACCCAGGCGCCCTCTTTTACTTCTTATTGAACCAGCTTTGGTAACTGAAAATTGTTCAGGTCACCTAGATTTTCAAATTAATATATATAAAGTATATAATGTTCTTTCATATTTTTGATTCATTTTCTATAGTTACTGTCTCATTCCGGATATTGTTTAAATGTATATTTCCGGGCACCTGGGTGGCTCAGTTGGTTAAGCGACTGCTTTCAGCTCAGGTCTGATCCTGGAGTCCCGGGATCAAGTCCCGCATCGGGCTCCCTGCTCGGCAGGGAGTCTGCTTCTCCCTCTGACCCTCTTCCCTCTCGTGCTCTCTGTGTCTCATTCTCTCTCTCTCAAATAAATAAATAAAATCTTTAAAAAAATAAAATAAAATAAATGTATATTTCCTTTCCTCTTCTTTCTCTCTCTCTCTTTGCTCAGCCCTTCTGGAAGTTTGTCAACTTTATAGGTCTTTTCAAAGATTACATATTTTCATTTTTAAATTCAAATTTATATCTCTTCTAGTTTATTATGTTTTATTTTTATTGATTCACTTTATTATTTTTTAATTTGGTTTACTTTCTCTAGCTTTTTGAGCTGAATAATCAGTTTGCTTATTTTCCATACAACTTTCTAAAAAAGTCATTCAAGACTGATGTTATGAGAGTGTATTTAGCATATCTCATGCATTTTGATATGGAATGTTTTCAGTTTGGTTTGTTTTTAATCTCTAAGTCAGTTTTTATTTTCTGTTTGACCCAAGGGCAGTTAGAAGAATGAATGTTACCAGTCCAGTTTCTACTTTTAAAAAGTTTTCTGTTGAGACTTTCTTTTGTCCTAGAATGTGTACTTGGCCTGAAAGGACTATGAGCAAAGTCTGGTTTTCTCTTTCTAGCTCCCTCTTGAAAATAAAGCCTGGGTGGCTCACTCAGTTAAGCATCTGCCTTTGGTTCAGGTCATGATCTCAGGGTCCTGGGATGGAGCCCGAATTGGGCTCCCTGCTCAGTGGAGAATCTGCTTCTCCCTCTGTCCCCACCCCCCGCCCCTGTGTGAGCACAACTACTCTCTCTCAAATAAAATAAATATATATTTTTTAAAAGTTAAAGAAAAGAAAGCTCTCTCAATGCCGAGGCTTTCTTTTCCCACCATATCCAAGTGAGGAGCTCTCTCTGTCAGTGCAGTCATTAAGCTTTTCATATTTTTTGAAAAAGATATTTGCAACCCTATGGTTCATTAAACCAGTGATATTTCAGGGCCTATTCAGATACATTCAAGTGAAGAATTAAGGTCATGAACTTGCTCTGCAACCCAGACATACCCATTGTCTTTCCCTAACGGTGCCGTGTTTAGTGCCCGCAGGACTCCATAGTATGTGCAGATTTTGAGGAAATTAATGCTGGGAGGATTCAGAGTTTGTAAATTTCATTCACAAATTCTTTAGAGAGAATGGTTGGATTTTACTGAAGGAGAGAGAAGGAAATGATTTGCTAGAAAAAAGAAAGGCTTTCCAGAGAGGAATAGAATAGTGAAAGTTACACAGGCCAATAATCATAATTAGTATATACATGTATATGTGTGCGTACATGTATGTGTGTTCTGCACTATTTACAAACCATTTCATATCCCCTACTTTATTTAAGCATTACAATAATCCTTCGAGAACGTCTTGATTATCATGTCCTCATTTTGCTGCTTGAAACACTGTGGTTCCAGGTATGGAACTGAGATCTTCCATTTGAAATTCTTTCCCTGTATCAGGCCGGGAGGATGAGGAGAAGGAAGGGGTCTGGCTCTTTGGGTGTCCTCAAATGTGTAACCTCAGTGTTTGTCTCATTTGAGATCCCCGCAGCGAAGTTGAACGAGCTGCTCGAGAATTTTTATGTCACCGTTAAGAAGAGTGACGGTTCCGACTTCCTGGCCACCTCGCTGCACGCCATTCGCCGAGGCCTGGACCGCATCCTGAAGAATGCAGGCGTGGGCTTTTCCATCACCAGCAGCACCTTCAGTTCTTCCACCAAGAAACTCAAGGAGAAGCTGTGGGTGCTGAGTAAGGCAGGGATGTCAGGGGCCCGTGCTCGCAATATTGTCTACTTCTCTCTTTCCGACGAGGAGGAGATGTGGCAGGCAGGGTGTTTAGGTGATGACAGTCCTGTCACTCTCCTGTCCACTGTGGTCAAGTACAACAGCCAGTACCTGAATATGCGGACCCTGCAGGAGCATGCAGATCTGATGTATGGTGACATTGAGCTGCTCAAAGACCCACAAAACCAGCCCTATTTTGCCCGGACAGACAGTGTCAAGCGGGAGAGCCGCAGTGGTGCCACAAGAGTATGCCACGGGAAAATCTACCATGAGCATTCTAGGGGACACAGACAGTGCCCTTACTGCCTCCTCTACAAGTACATGTACACCCACCGGCCACCCACCCAAATGGAGGCCAAGTCCCCTTTCTACCTCACGGCCCGGAAGGAGGCCACAGACATGGGCAGCGTGTGGTATGAGGAGCAGAGGATGGGCCTGCGGTCTCTTCGGGGGATTGTTCCAAACTTAGCCAAGAAGGTCAAGCTGGAAAATTGTGAGAACTTCACCTTTGTCTCGTTTACTCAGGTCTCCAGGAGGCTTGGCTCCCACAGTTGCTGTCAGTGAGTCTTCCCTGACAAGCAAGAGCTCCCTTAGGCAACCGCGGCCAGAGCTCTGGGGTGGCAGGGAATGACAGTGACTTCAAGGTCAGGCTGGTCTTGGTCAGGGGGACCTGCTATTTCTTTGACTTTGGGTGTGTTTTTTTACCTGAAAGTAGAGGAATCTGAATAATTAGGGTATTTTATCCAAATGTGTGTCACCTTTGTTAAATTATAGAATCTAACACCATGTATAATTGTTCCATAAACAAGAGTGAGGAAGTTCATTTTATCTAGTGCCTTTTTAGCACAGATTTTCTTAAAAAAAAAAAAAAGAAAGAAAGAAAAAAGGAGACTGTTTAAGTAGTCATTAAAAAAAATAATAATAAACTCCCAGTAGCCTAGTAGCTTTAGAATGTTATGAAGACTCTATATGCTTTGTTGAATTACACTCACAATGAGGAACTGGAAGGAGAGAGGCAGACACATTAACTATTTCCAGGAGAAAAATTGCACTCGACCCTCCTCTCTCTGTTTTGTTGATGGATAGTTTGGTTCTGCAGAGCAAGCAGCTTTGCCTGATAGAAGCTGGTGGAGCTGCCTGCACTCAGTAGTGCTGATGGGGAGGTGGGGGCCGCCCCCACTGCTCTCAGCATGGGCAGCGACTTGATCCCTGCGTCAACGGGGACAATTTTAGTTTTATGAAAAAAAGATGAATGCACCAGACAATGTTTGGGAGAGCAAGGTTTCCAGTGAACTGGGTGGTTTGTACCATGAGGGAATTTCCAGTAGTAGTGGCTTGGAAAAAGCGATCTGTAATCAAAATATGAAAACCTCCTGAAGCAGAAGTGCCTACGTGTTCTTTCTCAGCACCACATGAAAGCTATTTCCATTTGAGCCTTTTTTGGAATTTTTGAAATCTGTCCTTCGTGTCATACAGTTGTCCCGTCAGCATCTAGCACCAGATCTGTAAAGTAACTAAAGGTACTTTTCAGGCTTCACCAGGAAAATCCAACAAAGCAAGCTGCAAAGAAAACAAATCCCCAAACATGTTTATGAAAGTACTTTGGAATATGTTCATCAAAGTATGATTTTTTCAGCCACGATAGATGTCATCATTTTAGGTTGGCCCTAGTGTGTGGGACATGATGATGGAGGCAGCCTGCCAGGTAAGCAGACTCAGCATTAAGGACATGCGTGTAAAAATCAGAGCATGATGATAGGCTATTGATGCACTCAGGTAAACTGCAGCCTGACCACATATTATGGAAACATGAGCAGAATTTTCTGATAACCACTCTGAATGACAAGTGAAAAAGGAGCCCAAAGAGTGCTAATCTATAATAACAATAATTTACAGGAATCTTTATGTTGTATTTGAGGAAAGACTGCTACAAGATTATGTTCCTGTGTGTGCTTTCTAATCCAAAATTAAAATTCCAGTATAAATTTATGTTGCAAGAGTCCTAGAATCAGTCCTAGTTCTTTTTCAAAACATTATTGTAGTATTTATTTTAATTAATTGTTCTTAAAAATCATTCACCAGTCGTTGAAATATGTAATACATCCTTTACCAGAAAAGACTCAGCCAATGCTGCCTTAAGGTTTAATGTTGTTCCCTTTTTAGTTAAACTGCACATTTATAATTTTGTTTACTAGTTGATCTTTCCTGAGTATGGGTTAATTTTGGTATGTCTCCATGTGTGTATAAATAACAGGTAATATTTAATAATCAGTGTTATGACCTGATATTGCATACTATTCTGTTGTGATTTCCTGTAGTGGTTTTAGGGTTTTGCTTAAAAAAGAGACACAAAACATTAGGTGTAGTTTTCTTTAGTTTGCTAAGCACCCAAAGGATATTTTGTTTGTGGAAAGCAGATGGTGATTTTTCCTGTCAGTTCTGTACTTAAACAGAAATATAACCCATGTGAACAATGGGGCGGACAGAGCCTGCAGACTAATTAAATAAAACCTCCGTTTTTATTTTAAATGGATTCAAGAGGAAATCACTATTAGGAATCACTGGGATCTTTTCAGATTTCAACATTTCCATAAGTAGCAATAACTGACCCAGAGGTTGTCATCCTTCTGTTGACAGGGGCTTTTCATCAGCTGAGTAACCACCTCTGCCGCACATTGGTTGCTTATCACTGTTTGATGTGCTGTAAATCCCCAGAGTTCTGAAGTGAATGATTATAATAAAAAATCAGGAGGTGGAATCTTCAGTGATATCTGATGGAATGAAAGAATTGTATCTCAGCATCCTAAACGCCATGCATTTCATGCCTCCCTTGGGGAGTGGGAGGGAGAAAGAAAATGCATTTAGCAGGTGCTACTTGGCACCACCCGTTGAACGAGGTACTTTTTTTACATGTTTGTGTTAGGTGTCTGTGTGTGTCACACACACTTGAAATTTATATGTGGTGATGCCTGGTAAACCTGCTAACATGGCAAAGCACCTCTTCTTTGTATGGCCATGTCCATCCTCAGAGGATCTGAAGCGGGGATGGAGTAGCTAGTTCAAGGGAGCCACCCTCACTCATGCCCACTGGGGGACTCCCTGATTTTCTGCTCTTGGCTAAGCCAGGAGAAAGGAGAATCCCAACAGAAGGGGGGGGTAGATTAAGGACATTTTCTCCACTTACCTTTATTTATTTATTTATTTTACTCAGAAGTGGGAACGAATATCAGGAACTCACAAGCTCACCAAAGCACAAGTTGCCTTTGGCTCGGCATTGGGAACAGTAGAGCTGTAGGTATTAGGGAGGACCTGTGGAGCACTTTGGGCGAGCTCTTGCCCACAGCACCCCCTCTGAGTCTGCTCTAACATGAGCCCTGCTTGCTTGGTACCTCCTCTCCAGAATCTAGCAGGTCTCCCCTTGAAAGTGTATCCCGGCAGAGGTGATAGGGGGTCAACTTGGAAGGGTGTGATCCCATTAAATGTAAAGGGTTTAACACAGCACTAGGTGCATAGTAAGCATGCAATATATATTAGCTATTTTAGCTACAACTTTTGGTAATAGTAATAATTAATATTATTCAACTAATCTGCATCACATCATTTATTTCTTCCATTGTGGAGATTCTCCCTCCTTTAAACTGTTAAACTTGAAGAGGAAACCAAACCTGATAATCTGGTCATATGTATGCCCATAAATTCTACCTCCAACACAGCCAAGCCCTGATGCCTCAGCTGTAAGCAAAAACACGTGAAGAATGGAGATGCCTTAAGAGGCTTTATGAAAAAGCTTTTGCATTGTTTAGTGTGTTTGCAAAGGGGAGTATTATGGAAGAACCTTACCAAAGTTGTGAAAGAAATGGTCTTCTTGGTTGTGTGGCATTTTCCAGCTCTCCTTGGATTATGTGCCGTATTAATCTTGCCCTGATTGATAAATGGTGTTTGAAGAAATGTGAAATTCTATTACTTTGATTTTTATTTCAATTCGGCTTTCTTAAAACGATCGAGCACTGTATCTCAGCATGTTCATAGACAGTCATTGGGAGAATCTGGACAAAATAACCTTCATGTGGAAGCTGAAGCCTCCTGCTATAGTAGAAAGAGAACTTGACTGGGAGCTCCTTCCCTACTCACTTGGCAATTCTGGTCTAACTTCCGTCAATGATAAAGTGGGATCATTGGAATGGATCATCTCCAAAGTGAACAGTATTACAGTTCCTGAAGCCCATATAGTTAGGAAGTAGCAAAACTTGGAAACAACATTCCTAATTCTTCAAGGTCATATAGTGAATCTCCTAAATTTTAAGAGCTTCTCACTCTATTGGAACACTTTCTTTTGAAAAAATACTTTTCTTCAATTTAGGCATCGATAAATGCAAATGACAAAGACCTCGAAGTTACTTCATTTTCTCTACATGAGATCCAATTTTGTCTAAGTTAGGGCCCATGCACATTTAGAAACGGTTAACAGTCCTGAGCAGAAGAATATATTAAAAGTTTCAAATTCACATATCTTTAAATGTTTCTGCTTTGGGGTTGAATTTTTATGCTCTATATTAAAAGAAAAACATTCTATGGTTTAGTCAGTGTTCTTAAAAATCTTTGTTGTTTTTTTCTCCAGGTGAATTAACCACCTTAGCAGAAACATGAGTGGAGGGAGAGTTGGGTAGTGACCTAAGGACACAACACACTCCCTTCCTAAGAGAAGAGAAGGCCGTGTGGGGTGATTAACTTCTCTCTGGGAATTCCTATGTATTCCGTGTCCATGAATTCTGACATCACAGGATTTCCCAAAACTCCTTTGAGGGAGGCTGCCCATCCTTCTGGCAAAGTTTGCTTATTACGATGATGATTTTATGTACTTCTAGTTCTTCACAGTCCAAGAAGTCCAGAGATGTTTCCCATGTTTAGTTGGTTGACCAGAATCAGATTTCTGTGCTCAATTAAAGTGCTATATTAATCTAATGCAGCTGATATGGAAGTTAATTTCAGGAAATATTTATTAAAACCAAAAAAAAAAAAAGATCACTGGGTTATATTGGATGCATATTGCTTCCATTACTGTTAAAAGCAATTGGATAGATCCCTCCCTCACAATGAGAGGAGAATGAGCTCCTAAATATTTTATGGTCAATATAACTGATTTGATTAATTTGCATTTAACTGTCGTTATTGTTACAGTTCAAAAAAGTTTCTAGAAAGTTCACATTTGACTAACACTGTGATAAGTGCTTTCTCACAGCTGCCTCATATTCTCATTTAATCTCACAACAGCTCTGCAAGGTAGGCCTAAGTATTACCGTGTTACTTATTGAGAAACCCAAGGCTCAGAGAAATTAAGTAAATTTCTCAAAGTCTCACCAAGCTTGTAAGAGGGAGAACTTAAGTTTGAACCCAGGTCTTCTAACTCCAAATCTGGTGCTCAATCCATGAGACAAAACTGCCTTCTTTGGGGCTACAGAGGGTCCATTTGTCACAGAACTTTTAAAAAAATTAAACACAATTTCTGTCTGTTGAGGAAATACTTCATTTCTCAAGTCATACGGTGGCACACCTCATATGTACTCTTACTAACTGATTGGTCACTTGGTATGATTTAGCAGTTCCTGGAAAGCCTCATGGCTTTCTGTGAATGTTCTGCCTATTGAAAACTTTCTGTACTTATCCAATAAATAACTTGTATTACTTATTATCTACCCTAAAGGGCAGACAGTCATGCCCTCCTTATCCACTGCGCCATATGCCCACAAAAGAGAGTTGACAAACACTCACGTGGACAAATAACACAACCAAGGGCAGATACTGGATCTGCGAAGAAGATCATGTTTAAGGATGGTATATAGAGAAAAAAAACAAAAAGGAG